ATTTTACTCCCCATTTCACTAGCATTTTCTTGCAAAACACTGCCACTTATGGGAACGTTTTCTTGTCTTTTTTGAGTAAACCACTTAATAAGTCCCTTATCAACCTTTTCATGTGCAGATAATTTTAACTTCCTACATCGAACATTTGTTTTGTCATACGCTGATAAAATGTTTTCTCTGTTTTTCCATATTGTTGCAACAGCAGACTTCCCAAGTGCTAATTCCTTACAAATGTCACTCTGCTTTACTTCACTTTTTATTTTGTTAATAATCTCGTACTTTTCATTTAGTGAAAAAGCTTTGCGTTTTTTTTTCTATTCAAAAACGATTTACGTACATAACGCGGCAAAAAACAAGTCATTGGCTGTCTCTCGCTCTCACTAATATAAACAACTCCGCACTATTCGTTTTGCTGAGCGTGGAAGTTCGTTATAAACGGAAAGTGAATATACAACTAGCCTAAAAAGTGATCGTTATATACGGAAGTTCGTTATAACCAGTAAAAAAATACGTTGGTCCTTATGGACGACGTTTCAATTAAAGGAAAAAAGTTCGTTTTAACTGAAAGTTCACTATAACCGGGTTCATTATAAGCGGACTTTTATAAACGAATTTTTATGCCGACTTCACTCAAATCAAAGGCCTGCAATTTCCTCAATTGTTTGCAACAAAACAGGTTCAATGGAGGACCCCAAAATATACCTCCATCCAGGCATTTATTTTTGACGCTAAAAGCCTCTCCAGTCCTTCACAATAGTTGATAAAATTGGTCCAGATTCTTCACCATTTTTAAGTGTTTTTTTTTTAATTGCTTTTGAATGTGGCGTTTCTTAGATGCAACTGTATTTTCCATTTATCTGCATTTTTCAATTCAGCTAATTGATTTTAACCAGATGCCGAGATTTAATTATTTGCTCATTACTTTTCTGTGTGCTAACAAAGTGCGCTAATTATCTGACTGGATGTGTTGAACATGCACTTGTCTATGCTCTAATGAATTTTTCGTTAATATTGTTCAAATCCGTTTCCGCATTGATGCTTGACTGAGATTTTATGAACTAGTAAGGAAAATCAATATCAGAAAATGCCAATCAAACCTATTCATTGCAATATGAATTCATATTGTTCTACCCACAATGGAATACTGAGCTGTTCCATTTCGCCACTCGTCCACAGTAAAGATTATTTACGAAGATCCAGGCGTTATTTGACTGGATTCACCGGGAAAATACAGCGCAAAACCAGCGAAATTATGGTGTAATTTGCGATATTCGCGTCCGCTTTTCACAGAGCTTAATCCATTATTCTCCACATCCATGCTAATTTAATAATCTCCAACTTCGGAGATCGTCTGAACATGCAGCATCCCTCTCGAGCTCTTCACGCTGTATAAATCAATTTCCAGCCTGACTCCAGAGGTTGAGCTGAATTCCATTAGAAATTTTTTATGGGGTTTGGGAAATTTAATTAGTAGAATACACAGCACTGATACCTCGAATTAGCAGAATTCCTTTAATTAGACGCTAGTATGACATGAGGCAGAAATGCCTTCAATTGAATGAAAAAGAAGTTTTTGGTGTCTCTCAAAAATTGGCCTGAAGGAACACAAGGAAAATAATTTTTTTTTCTAGGTGGAGCAAATCTCCCAGGAATACAAGGTTCGCGCCTTGCAGTATCATCCTGATAAGAACGCCGGAGACAAAGAAATGGAGGAGAAATTTCAATTACTGAATGTAAGTTGAAGGGAAAAAAGAAAAGAATACAAAACGCTTATGCACACCTGGGTATATAAATACGAACGGTTTTATTCGGTTCAACAAAGACCTGTTTTATGGAAAGTTCATACAAAAATTCTTAGTTGGTGTATTCTGGTTTGCGTAAGAATTTTTGTACGAGAATTACATCCTACCTTAATCCTTATTATAATAATAATAAGTATGGACATTCGGTAAATCGCGTTAATGTGTTTTTTAGAGGTTGAAAATTTAGTGTCTTACGAATTCAAATAATTTGCTTGTTCCCACAGCATCTCTTGTATTCTTTGCTATCTGTTTTCCGTAATTCTCTCGAAAATTAGCATTCTGTTGGATCTCCGTCAGTCTGAATTATATGAACTTATAGGAAGCCAAAGAAACTCTAACAAACCCAGAGAAGAAAACGCTTTACGATAAATGGAGAAATAGTGGCATTTCCATGGGCTACAAGCAGTGGTTGGGCATGAAGGACCACGTTCAACAGGTAAGTAGTTGGAAGAGAAACATGGATTCTGGAAAAATTTGCAGTTCGTATGATGATTTAATGAGCAAAGGATTTGTGTTTATTTCTCCAGCGCTTAAGGTAGCCGGTACAGGTTATATTTAGATAAAAAATTGATCGATCTAAATATAGAAACTGGGAAAATTTACTTGGAATTAATTCATTCCGTCCATGTCATGCTGTTAGCGATTGTATGCGTATTTTACTATTAGTGTCCTACAGATACTCCTTACAGTTAAAATGTTATTTGCAAGAGTTTCTACTTATCTCAGAAAGTAGATATAGAAATAGTTATTTTTTTACATCGCCTTTAAATTTTAGCAGAACCCGCAGACCCCTAGAGAATCGTTAGAGTAACAGACCCTCAGTTCACAGTACTGAATTGAGCAGTAGAGTGCGCTTTGATTTATAAAAATAAACATTATTTATGAAAAATTTCTCATTACCTCAGGAAATAGAAAACTTCAAAAATAATCAGTGTTTTAAAAACCGGGCTTAGTTTTTTCTCGTTATTACTACTGAATTTGCCAACAATTTTAATTGTCTCAAAAAATATTGTTAGGGTTAAACATGGTCATGACCCCTCCCCATTCAATTCTCTATCCAACGATGCCAAAACGAATTATGTGGCTCGAATGGTTCTTAAGAAACTTCGAAAAAAGCAGCGTCATGTTCAAGTGGATTTTGCAACTGAAAAAAAACCCACGCAAACCTAAAACTTCTTGAATTCAAGCGTTTTTTGAGAAAACTG